AAAGCCTTTGCAATTTAAAGTCTTTATATTATTTATCGACGATATTAAGATAAAAAGATTATAAATAAACTATTCCGACGAAAAAGCACTTTCGAATATACGCCGATTCGTATTCGAATATATTTAAAATATCGATAAAACTTTAAAACAAATTAAGCGCGCTAATATTATAATCAAAGAAAAATTATAATTCTATTAAAATAAAATAAATATAATAAGATTCGTATGCAATTCGAAAGGTCGAGAACCCGCTGCGAATAAAGTTATTAAAATTAATAATTAAAAAACCTTCGAAATCGTTATTAAAGTTAAAAGATTTTTAAGCTTTTGCTTTTACTTTCGCATTTAAGTTAAAAGATTCGCATATATTGCTAACTTTCTTTATAATTTTATAAAAAAAAAAAAATTAGCAATAGATCGAAGCGTATTCGAAAGCTATGCGAATGCTATAAAACGCTTTAACGACGGCTTCGGTTTTAATTAAAATCGATTACGAGAATTAAAATAAAGAAATAATAATAAAAACGAACGCTAGCTTAAAAAAATAAAAAAAATATATTAGTTAACGCGAAATTACTTTTAATAAAGTGCAATCGACTCGATATAAGTTCGAGGTTTAAACGAAAGCAAAACGGAATTACGACGCTATTAAACGAAAATGCCGCGAAATACTTAAAGTTTTTAAAAAACTTAAGTTATAAATTATCGAAATGCACTTTATCTTCGAGACTAACGTTAAAGTGCTTATTGCTTAGCTTTAACGAAAAGCTATCGATATACTTTCGATCTTAATTATACGCTAGCTAGCTTAAATTAATCTTTTCGATTTTAAAATTCGATATATCTTCGATAAAAATCATACCGCTATCGATATATTATCGAAACGGCTATAGCATTTTAATGATTTAAGCGAAAAAGACGAAAATGAGTTCGATAATAGCTTCTTAATCGATTTAAAACTTATTAAAGCTCGAAACGGCTTTAAAAAACTTTCGACGAACTTTTTAATAAATATTCGCTAATCTATTTTTAAAAACATATTTTAACGCTCGAAAAAAGCGAAGAATATAAACTTAAACGAGTTTAACGACGATTACGATTATAAAAGCTTTTTAAATTTAATCGAATACTTTTCGAAATCAATTCGAATAGCTATTTTTTTAACGATCTTGCGAAGATTTAAAAACTTAAATAAAATAAAATGCCGTAAGTTTAAAAAGAAAGCTATTAAGTACGAAGTAAACGATAAAAAGCTTTAAAAACTTTTAACGAAAAGTCTTTTTTTTCGATTAATAATCGATAAACCTTCGATTAAAACGAATATTATTACGGCTTATTACGATAAAAGTAGTTATAAAAGCCGTAAATTAATTTACTATTATATTTCTTAGCGCTATTTTTAAAATAAATATTATACGAACGTTAAACGATTCGTTAAAACTTATAAAAAATGCTAGCATCGAGCAGCTAATAAGCTCGAAGAATTATTGCATCTTACCCGATCTAATAGCTTAATAAAACGCTAAGCTATCGATATTACTTATCTATTTGCACGCAATAATAAAAGCTATTTAATTATTATTAAAAATAATATAAATAAATAAATCGAAGCGAAAGCGATTCGGACTCGAAACTCGCTTTCGATAGCTAAGTTTATTTAAAAAAATATTATTTGCTGTTATAAGATTTTCTTTGAGCTAATAATCGATAAAAGTTTAAAGTTTAAAAAAAAGTAATCGATTTACTTAATAATTAAAAAATCAATCGAATCGTAGTTTTAATATATTACTTTTAAGCGAATAAAATAATAAAACGCGGTTATAAATTAATTAAAGACGCATTAAGTAAGCTTAAAAGCATTGATTAAATTACGCAATTGCTAGCCGTTTTATTCGCCGATCGCATTTCGATGCATACTCTTATTAAATTCACTTTTTTTTATATAATATATAATAAAAAAGTAATGCTTTCGATCGAGATTCGAATTTAATCTTAAGCTACGTTATTTTAAAAGCTAATAATTAATCGTATTAAGCTTATCGAGTTAAAAGCACGCTAATTTCAAATGCGAAACGAAAACGCTACGGAAGCTATACTTAAAAAAACCCGCTACCGCTAAAAAAGAAAAGATGCTTTTAATAATAAAAAGAACTTTCGAATCAAACTTTTAAAAATAAATGATTTAGTTTTTAAGCACGATTCGATACGTAAGATAAATATATTTAACGTTAAAAAGCTAGATTTTCGATAGCTTAGCTTTTATTAAATTTCGTCGATAAATATAAAAGAATATTATAAATTAAAAAAGCTAAGAAAGGACGGGGCTTTATTAAATAAAATATTTGCTAGCAGCCGATTAAAAAAGTTTTACGTACGATATACCTTCGAAGCGTTACTACTTCGCTTTAAGCTTTAAATAAAAAGATTTTCAAAATAGCTTTTATTAAATAAAATAGCCGAGTCTAGCTTTTAAATCAAGCGCTTAAATAAATTTATTATTCGATTACTTAGCTTTACGGAAAAGCAACGGAGCTAATACGCAAAAGTCTTTATAAGCAATAATGAAAAAGCAATAAAAAGTAATTAAGTTATAAAAGCATAATTATACGTAAAAGAAAGACGAGTTTAAATTTGATTTTTTAATTTTTTTTTTATTTAAGTTTTAGTTTTTTTTTTTTTT